GCCACGGCTGTATCGATCAAATCTTCACACTTCGCCAGATCCTCGAGCTCCGCCATGTGTATCAGAGGCCAACGATTGCTGTGTTCTTGGATATCCGTGCAGCCTTCGATTCTGTCCATCGGACGGTACTGTGGCACTGCCTACTGAGGAATGGTGTCCCTGAGAAGTTCGTCTCCATACTGTGCGATCTCTATAGTCTGACCTCGGGCAGGGTTAGGGCTTATGGCAAGCTTCTGTCTGCCTTTGTGGTCTCCAATGCAGATCGATAAGGATGCCCTATCTCTCCGCTTCTATTCAGCTTTGCCATTGAGGATGTCCTAAAGAACGCTCGAGGCGATTCGTTGAACGCTAGCGTTGAGCTCCTCACAGGTAGTCGAGTTGTTGATTTGGATTATGCCGATGATTTCGTCTTGCTGGATGACGATCCACACGTCGTTCAACTTGCACTAAACCGCTTGGCGATTAAAGCATCTAACTATGATTTGTATTTGTCGCCATCCAAATGCCCGCCTGTCTTCCAAGACTGGCAGATGCCTCTGTCTGCACTCACTCTTGGTGGTGAGACACTATAGAGGTTGTGGAGAGCTTTGTCTATTTGGGAAGTTGCATCACTGCTGGCGATGCTGTTGAAGACGACATTTCGTTGCGTATCTCGAGAGCACGCCTCGCTTTTTTTAGGCTGAGGCACTTGTGGAGTCGCCACAACATCCTTCTCCTTCAAAGGGCGGGTTTATTATGCAACTGCTCGTGCTGCACTGTTGTACGGACGCGTGGCTTAGCCCATTCGTAAAGGATGTGCACGGGTTCGAATCCGCTTAGGGGTGGGCGTCCTCGTGGTATACTCAGCCCGCCTACCACTGATGGGGTCGCATGGCAGCGAAGCGCCGTTACGGCGTACAACTGACACATTATTATTATTTTCGTTATTATTATTATTATCATTATTCCATTCGTAAAGGTGACTCGCAGACTATCCGTCTTCGAGCACCGCTGTCTGCGGTCCACTTCCCGTGTGTGGTGGCGGCACCACGTTAACAATGTTGAAGTTAGACAACGTGTCTTGGGACAAGGGAGTCACTCGCTCGAAGAGCTCGTCGCACTGCATCAACTGCAATGGCTGGGACACGTATTGCACATTCCTGTTCAGCGTTATCCGCGTCGTGCATTGTTTGCGGTCGCTGGACAGGGCTGGAATTGACGATCTGGAGGACAGCCTGCAACTTGGAGAAGCCGCATGAAAAGCTGACGAAACAGTTGGCCTCGGCCGGTTGTTGTCGACTACCTGGTTGGGTTCCTAGAGATGCGGATAATTGCTGGTTGAAGACCTTGGAAGCCATGGCTCAAGATGAGTGTCAGTGGCGGACGTGTGCATTGGTGTGTTGCGGTGTCCCTCCTTCATCCCCCCTAAAAAAGCAAACTGAAAAATTCAAAAATTAGGAGTATCAAACTAAACAAAAAGCCTTTTTTGTCATTTTCTTATTATTCGTACTGTTTTCCTATTCAGCTATGATTCCGATGGCACAGTATCTATACAACAGATTGTGTGCAAGATATATATATATATATATATATATATATATATATATATATATATGGGTCGATTCATTTAGCTTGGTAGCTGTCACCTCTTTTGGTCACGTCAACAAGGCCCGCGTATCTTTCCAGAGGCTCAGTTATCTCTGGAGACGACGGGTTATTAACATATCAGTGAAAGGTAGAGCGTATAAAGCTGCGGTAAGGCCGGTCTTACTGTGTGGATCAGAGACCTGACTAGTTCGCAGCGAAGACATTAAACGCTTGACCGTGTTTGATCACCGGTGCTTGCGAAGTATTACTCACGTTTGCAGGGAACACCGGGTGAGCAATGCTGAAGTTCGCCAGTTGGTTTTAGCATGAAGCCTTCTAATTCCTCACTCGAGTGTTTGCCGAATCTTAGTCGCTTACCTTGGCTAAGCCATGTCCTCCGTATGGTCGTTGACGGCCTTGCTCGACGTGCACTAAGTTGGGCGATTCTGCGAGGTATCCAGTCCATGACGTGGCATAGATGCATAAAGTAATTGAATGCGACACTTGGTCAGGCTTGTGCGTGCCGTCTTCGTGTATGGGGGTGCCTGGACGGTGCACATGAGTTGTTGGAGACTATCAGGTATGGCGCAATCGCGCTGTCATTGGCTTTCCTGCACTCGGTTTCTCGCATCTGACCATTACTTTCCCTTTATCTCGATTAATTTACGCACTTTTTTGATGGTTCCATTTTCTTTGTATTCTGTTCGCATTCAATCTCGCTTTCTCACCGTTATTTGTTTTTATTCTTGTGACGTTAGCCGTAGCAACTGGATCCATCGCACTTCGGTGCCCGGATCATTGTCCTTCGACTGTACTGAACTGATTGGAACGGCGCAGCCTAGCTTCGTCAAGAAGTCTTCTTACAAATCTGTTGTGCTTCTTGGTTGATATAATTCACTGTCGATGGGGGGATTTCAATATAAGTCTACTCTCTCGACTTCAACAATGCTTTCGATTCTGTTGACCATCGTTTCTTATCTACAGAAGTTGAAATCATTTCACCATCAACTTTCGACTTGGATAGCCGAATTTCTTTGCTAGAGCAGCGCCACGCATACCGCAGACCGACAATAGCTGTGTTCCTCGATTTCAAGAGTGCGTTCGATTCAGTCGATCGATCGATTCTGTTCGAAATACTTGCGCGGAAAGGTGTTCCCACGAAATATGTGAACATCCTTCGTGCTCTATACTCGAACACTAGAGGCCGCGTCAGGGTCTATGGTGCCCTATCCGATAGCTTTTCGACTACAAGTGGCGTTCGACAGGGTTGCCCGATTTCCCCGTTATTGTTCAATTTCGTCGTGGATTCTATCATGGAGTGTTCCCTTGCGGAATCTCATGACGTAGGTGTTGAAGTGCTGCCTGGTGAAAGGTTAGTTGATCTAGATTATGCGGACGATATCGTGTTGCTTTTCGACAATGTTGAGGCTGCACAATCAACCCTGAATAGCCTATCCAGAGTGGTTCCATTATTTGGTATGCACTTCGCACCTTCAAAGTGCAAAGTGTTGCTGCAGGGCCACCAGCCACTCGATGACCCCTTGATCTTTGCTAACGAGGAACTCGAGGTGGTTGATCAATTCACTTATCTTGGCAGCTGCATCAGCAATGATGGGTGCATAGAAACTGGCGTGAGCTCACGCATTGCAAAGGCCAGAGCTGCCTTCTTGAACCTGCGTCATCTTTGGCGACAGAAGGGAGTTTCCCTCCTTCTGAAATGCCGTGTATACAAGGCCACAGTGAGGGCCGTTCTGCTCTATGGTAGTGAAACTTGGCCCCTTCGGTCTGAAGATCTGAGGCGCCTTCAAGTCTTTGATCATCGTTGTTTGCGAAGCATTGCTGGAGTCGGATGGCACCAGCGTGTCCGCAACGATGATGTGCGTAGGCGAGTACTAGGTGGTGATGATCATGCTAGCTCCCTAGAACAACAGATAGCACTGAATAAGTTGCGTTGGCTCGGGCACGTGCTACGGATGCCTGGTCACCGCTTACCTAGGAGGGCCTTGTTCAGTCTACCAGGTGTAGGATGGCGCAAGGCTCGAGGTGGACAGAAGTTGACTTGGCAGCGGGAAATGAAGTCACGGACTACCAAACTGGGTGCCGTTGGTCCGTCTCGCCTTCCGGGTTGGAGTCCACGTGACTCACCTTGTGCTTGGCTCGAGACTTTACAGGACATGGCTCGCAACCGACACCAGTGGCACGTCTGCTGCCGTCTCCTAATCGGATTGTCTGTTTAAAGTGTGTTTGGTGCTGAGTTATCTGCGGGGTAATGGCTGATTATGGCGCGTGGCAGTGAAAGCCGCAAGGAAGCTGTCTCGCCGATGCCGCCTTATCTTTGCACGATAGCCAGCTGTTTATGACGGAATGTTGTCTACACAAGGTGTAGGCGCCTTGACCCTGAATGTTTGCTTAGGGCATTAAGATTTTCAGGTAAGTCCCCCTTCTCTTCCTCTTCTTATTCTTTATTTCATAGTTCCTCATGGTTGTATGGCAGCGAAGCATCAGTTCAAATGGCTGATGTACTGCTGTTGCTAATGATGATGATGATTGCTATAGTACCTTATTAGAGTAGTACCTTATTATTATTATTATTATTATTATTATTACCTTATTAGAGTTTGTGACGCCAGCTCAAGCATCGGCACCGCTCGCAGCCGTGTTTCCATAGGTTCCGTTTTGGGCCCCTTGTCGTTTCTCATGCTTATAAAGGCCTTGGCTCCTTCTGCTAAGGACCCTTGTTATATCATCACCGATGAGTTGTAGCTCGTCAGCAGGAATAATCGAAGCACTGTTTAAAGATCTTTGCAGTGTAGCGAAACGATTAGTGTCGATTGCAGACTTCTAGTAACGATGGGAGTATTGTACAAATTTGGCGGCATGCTGATTAAATACGTGACCCAGACATCATCAAACCTAAGATACTCCGGTGCAATTTGGTTCACTACCCTATTTAAAATGTGCAATGTGTGCAACAGCGACCGTACACGCAGAACTCCGAATGAGATGCGGTTTCAAGTCATTTCAAATTAGTCTTACAGAGTTGTCAAAACGGAAGACTTTTTCATCGCACGAATCCATCTACCCCATAATCGACAGAACACATCGAGGTTACAACCAGCCTGTATACACTAGAATCATGAGCCACGGACGATGCTCATTCCTTTGATGAGATGACGTAGCATCACTGACCACTCACATACCCGATGTTAACTTGTTCGTTACTATTTTGTGTTATTCATCTCATAGGTTATGCACATCGGCGAAGCTAGTAAACTATCTGCGTGAGCCTTTTGCGACTGCTGTAATGCCCCTACTTACCTCAGTTGGCATACTTGTGCTTTGCTCGTACTATGCAGATACACATTTGTCACATCACCCGCTTTCTCTTTTTTCGCTTTCGCGGTACTGAGTAACTACTGTGATTCCGTGTTTCAGTGCTTTCGCATTATTACATATCTGGCCTGGACCTCGTCATTTTGCGAACATTTGCTCGCTTTTCTGGGCACACTGCTGGCCTATCTTTGAAGTTTTCAGCCAACTATAGCGCATTAGTGAATTCACCTGGCCCTTTTACCGCTGCTGGTGATGAATACATTGATAGCTTTCGTGTCTGTCATCGTTGGCGCCCTGCATTATTTTTACGTGTCTTCTCTGCATGAAAACGATCTCTTTTACTCACACCTTTCAAGCAGGGAGCGCGAGCTTACCTTTCGTACTGAATCGGGATTTTATTACTCGTTTTTCAAGCAGGTAATTCCATTGTTTTGGTTTTTTCGATGTTTTATATATTAACTGCCGTGGATATCATCTGAGTCATCTAATTCGCCTTTTTGTGAAAGCTCTAATATAACTCACCATCAACGCGTGATTGTGTCTGGTGGTTAACCATCGGTCAGCTTACTTCAGTACGGGGAAATATTGGAACATTATGCGTCGTGACAATTTATAGCACAATCGGTGGATGGGCAAGCCAGTCAACTGTATGGAAAATATGGAAAATGACAAATAAGTATGAGTGGGATATGCATTTACTGCTGAAAAGTACAAACTCGCTAAGCTAACGGGCACCCAAAGAAGGCTAACTAGGGAGAGGGAAGGGAAGAGTTCCGGGAGCGTCCAAACCAGTGTTCAGGTCGCTTTCCGGATGTGCGTGTATATAAACAAAGGTGGTCAACATGCGAAAAACTGCTTAATTGTCCAGGGTGCGGATTAAAATATAATTTGTTAATATTTTACACATCGTATGGGGAAATCCCCACATCGCTATACATCCCTTCCTAGAAGGGCAACCGTGAGTGATCCTTCGATCTGTCTTTCGCCAGTCAGCCTTCTGCGGACCGAGTGGTGAAGCCTGATGCAGCTGCTGGGCGAGCATTAGCGCGATCGGATCCTAGCCGGCTCCCATCCGTGTCCTCCTCACTTGTGCCAAAAGTAAGTGAAACCTGTTCGACCACACAGCGTTCGGCCACGTGATATCCGGTGATATTGAAAATTTCGAGAGTCGAAGAAGTAAAATGAGAGACGTCAGGCACGCGCAACTGACCAGAGTAAACGAACAATGCTAGCGCTTACTAAGTGCAGTAAGAGGATAAAAGCAAAATCTTATGTTCGCATAAGATTCTGTCCTTTTTTCGTTTTCAAAACATTTCGCTTTTTTACATTTTGGTCTGGTCAAAATGGGGACGTCACACTTTAAGACGTGCCTGCCAGTGAAATCGGCTATTTGACCTAGTCAATTTTTGCGGTTCGGCTTTGAACGCGGTCGATTTTGGAACTGCATCATGTAGCCTATGGAGCGGCAGATGTGGCGTCCGGTTCGGCTGGAAGTGACGAAACTGGTGACCTATGGTCGTCTTCGAAGTTATCGTCGGATTCGAAATAGGCGACTTTGAGTCGGTTAGTGCTAACTGCTTCGTGTTTGCCGTAGCGTTCAAAGATGAAGACTCGGTCTTTGCGTTGAATGACCTTAAATTGTTCTTATGGGCGCTATAATAGTCGGTGAAAGCCATCAACGCGAACAAAAACGCGTGAACAACGTTGTAGGTCTTGGGGAACGAAAGATTTACGCTTGGTTTCCCTGAGTTCAAATAGTCGAGGTAAGCGTAGCTTAGCAGCATGTCGTTGGGCATAGGAAACGCCGTAATAACTAGATTTTGGAACGTAGTAGAAGCAATTTCCAGGAATCCTTAGCGTTTGTCCATAGAATAATTCGGCACTAGAAGTTTGTGGGTTGGACTCGATTGATGAGCAGATGTCCAGCAGTACCATCGGTAAGGCTTCCGTCCAGTTGAGTACGTCGACTGCACTGATGGATGCTACGAGTTGTCTGTGGAAACGCTCGACCATACTATTCGAGACAGGATGATAGACGGTAGTGCGGATGCGATGAGTGCCTAGCACTTTGAGCGTTTCTGAGAGGGTACTAAATTCAGATTGGGTTACATGGCAACCCTGAACAGTGACCCAGCGATCGATAAATGCTCGTGTGACTGTTTCAGCTGCGACGTCGAGAATCGGAACAGCCTGGAGCCAACGTGTGCTGACGGTCTGTCGTGATGGACGTGTGCAAAACGAGTGGAAATTGAGGAGCGAATCGGAACGGGTACGTGTTGCTGAACACTGGCCTTCTGACGGCTTGGGCAACTACGTGCCCGGCGCCTGTTGTCGCGCTGCATACCAGGCCAGACATATGGCTCTGAACTGAGCTTAAAAGTGGTCTTGATACCTGGACGAGCGATATTGTGGTATCAAAGACTGCGACGAAAAGCTTCGGAGACGAGGGTGCCCGTTGGAAGTATCGCAAACGATAGTGCCATCGGTTGACAAGTTTGGGTGCGCAGCGATTTTCAGAGAGTAATTTTTAAAGCGGAGTGACCATCACCATCGGTTTGTTGCGCCGCGACCATAGAGACAGATCGATTGCCTGCCGGGTGACATTGATTGTGGAGACGCGAGAAATGAAGTCAGTAAGGACGTGATTCTGACCAGAGATGTGTCGTGAATCAGTAGAACACTAGGTCACGAAATGCAGCTGACAGACGTCACGTTGTGTATGTCAAGTTGATTGATTTCGGTAGGTGTAGATAAGCGGATTATGGTCGTTGAAGATAATTATATTACCTTCAAGCACATGTCGGAAATGTCAAACAGCCATCAGTTGCGCGTGCCTGACGTCTCTCATTTTACTTCTTCGACCCTCGAAATTTTCAACATCACCGGATATCTCGTGGCCGAACGCTGTGTGGTCGAACCGGTTTCCACTTTCTTTCGGCAGGTTGTGAATGTCTAAAATAAAAAGCGAGGTTTCCAACGTCCATCGATTAGTTTATGCAGTACTGCGCCAACGACGGTGTCCGATGCGTTAACAGCAACACCGAGCGATGAAGCGTAACGGTTTCAGCCATAACCTCTTTACTGGCTCTGAATGCTACGGCGGTATCTGCGGTTAATTCCACTGCGCCGTTTTTACGTCCACGAAATGGATCGGTTACTGGACTTAACAAGTCGGCACAGCGTGGATGGAAACGTTGGTAATAGTTGATCATGCCTTTAAAACAGCGAATAGCAGTCAACGTAGTCGGGACTGGAACGTCATCTAGAGACCGTATACCATGTTGATCGATGTGATGTCCAGGAAATTCGACGGATTGCTGCTGTGAGTTACATTTGTCGGCGTTGACACTGATGCTATTAGCGACTAACCTATCAAAAAGGATTTTGAGATGGTCTGTGTGCTATTCTTTGGAAGCGTTTGCCACTAGGATATCGTCGTTGTTAGAGTCGACGAAGTCTAAACCTCTTGTGACGGAATTTATGAATCGTTGAAGGGTCTGGTATGCGTTGAAAATCCCAGAGGGGATGCGTAAAAATTCGAAGAGCCTAAACAGTATGATTATGACAGTTTTTGGTATGATTTCCTCAGCAACCGGGATCTGGTTATAAACGCGAACCAAATCGATCTCCGCGAACACACGGGTGCCGCATAGGCTAGCAATCGGGAACGGCTATGTTCTTAAGCGTACTAGTCTCCTGACTTTCTGAGCATCATGTGCAACGGTGACGCTCACGAGCCTTTAGTAGGGCGAACGATGCCTAGCTCAAACATGTGCTCGAATTCTGAGCGGGCAATTTAGCTTGTCGGGGGTCATTCACCTGGCTTTAGCGAATACAGGCGGAACTTTGGTAACGATGTGATGCTTCGCGACACCATTAGTGGATGGCAACGATGCTATTGGGCGGATGACTTGCGGGGATCTGCTGAGAGGCATCTGGTCAAGAACTGAGCCCGGCTGGTTGGCATAAACAGGACTCATTGGCTCGGTGTCGGTCAACCTGCGTATAACCGCCAGATTCATATGGCGATGCCTCACGACAACTAACAGCTCGAAGTGTCAAAAAAAGTCGAGGCTAAAAGTTGGCTACTGGGCATCCGCAACGGTGGTAATCCATTCGAAGGAACGTCGTAAACTTATATTAAGCCTGCGCGAGCGTTGACCATAAATGTGAATGATGGTATCGTTGGCCGCGCGCAATAAACTAATAGACTTCTCATTCGGGTCTTTCTTATCGCGAGCAAGGACGCTAACCTCAGTAACTGTGTTCACCAAGTAGCTGTTTCACGATCGGTGATGAAGAAAAGGCGACTGTGGCGACCAGCAACGTCCGCCCCCCCCCACGCCCTATGTGCGGGCCGGCCCGTTTCCCTGTGACTTGCGAGAGAAAGCGCAGGTTGGACGATAGGATCTGTCGTTTTCACAAAATCATAAATGGTACCAGTAATGGGTAGGTGTCTTAGAGGGAGATTTCGAAGGCGACTTAGAACGTAACTCACGAGATCGACTCCTAAAATGATTCTTTTCAGCGTTCCTCGAAGTCATTATTTTGTTGAGTCGTTTACTTACCGTATCAACGACTGCTGCTAGTTTCGTCACATTGTCTTTCAGCGTTGACTGGATGTGCGTGCTTCGGCCGTAGGATTCCCAGATATGGTCACCATTGTCGGCCAGCTGAGATAGAGTCGCCTCTCCATTAGCGTATAGGATGTTGCGATACCGCGTGGTATGCGTTTAAGCCACATGCCGGCTCGTAACCTAACAGATACAAGCCTGACTTGTAATCCGAGGGTGCCTATTTGAGCCTGCTTAGGAGGGCCGGGCGACCGTCGCGGAATCCGCAGCGTACACGCGACTGTTGGTGGTTGCGCGGGAGCGGAGCGTCGGTACTGCGTACCGGCCTACTGCTGGTATTACTGTCTAAGCCACGTCCTTGTGAGAAACTAGTCGTCAACAGTGACTATTGGTTTGGCTAGACTCCTGAGATGAGATGATTTCAGGTCACTTAACTCCGTTTCCCTTCTAGAATGGGGCTGTGTAGCGACCTGGAGATTTCCCCATATGATGTGTGAAATAATACCAACTTATACTTTCATCTATACCCGGGGAAATTAAGCATTTTTCGCATGTTGAACACGTTTTTTATAGACAGAAAAAAGCATCAATAGTTCGCCGGTACGCGGTACCTACACTTCGCTCCCTCGCAACCACCACCACTCGCATGTCGGCTAAGAATATTGCGAGGGTCGCCTGGTACCTACGCAGGTTAGAACACGCGCCCTCAGATTATAAGGCAGGCTTGTGATCCGTAAGGCTACGAACCGGCTTTGTTTATATACGCACATCAGGAACGCTACTCGAACCCTGTCTTGGATGCTGTCGGAACCTTCCTTTCCTCTCCCTAGTTAACCTTTCCCT